GGAATTATAAATTGTTAATAAGGATGTTTTGGTCTAAATTCTTTCAAAATGGACATTTTTGCAAATCAACACAAAAAAGTGGACATTTTGTGAAATTTCCTCATATAATTTTTGAAGGTCCCTACTTGCCCCAAGAAGGGGCTGATATGACTAGTCAATTTCGAGTCACCATATGACCAATTGAGGTTACCTCGTCCATGTGTGACCTTACTCCATGTCCAAAATTATATCTTCTAATGTTATATTCGATTGTAGGCTCGTCCCAAAAGCATTCTACAATTCTATTTACTTTTATTTTGAAATTAATTTTTTTCACTTGACTATTAAATCAAAGCATATCAAGTAATCTATATGTTTCAAAGCATTAATCATATACATTGACCTAGAGACGGCCTTCATTAAATTAATGAACAAACCTTTTTAAACTTGAAATTTTATTTTATAAACTGGATTTTTTTAAAATTATTTGTTTTTTGTACTTCGACTCGTTCTTCTCCATTATATTCCACATTTAATATTTAATTGTCAAAAATGACGGTTTCTGTCACAGAAGGATTGTGCTTCAAATCTCGGGTGCTAGAACATAAAAATTCAGGATCTCATTGTCACAAAGTTCAAAAGTTAGAGACCCTAGTGCAATTTACTCTTAACATTTTCTAAAATTTCTTAGTAAGCCCCTGTTTAACCATCATTATTTAAAAACTCTTTAATTCTCGTACTCATTTCCAATCACACATTTACACAATAAAATATTTTTCACGTAAATTCAAAAAAAAAAATCTTGTTTTTTAATCACGCATTCTCCAAAAAATTATGGTTTGTTCTTTTTACAATTTTCAAGCCGTTTTCTATTTTCAATTTTTCAAAACAGTGAAAACGTGTTCTCTTTCCTATTTTCGAAAATGCGTTTTTGAAAACAAGTTAAAAATTTACAAAGAAAACTCAAAATGACAAATTTTGGGGGTTTTCAGTTAGGACACTTAAAACACAAAACGCAAAATGAATTCAAAACTCAAAACACAAAACTGAAACACAAAGGGAACAGCCCCTTATTATTCAAAACTTCATTTTCTCAAAATAATGGTCATCAAACAGGGACTAAGTTAGACTAAAGCTTGATAAAATTTGTACAGCTTGACCGACAACAGTCCCTTTACAAATTCAAGGTCCAATAGAACTGACACGATACACATAATCAAACCATGTATCACTATTATCAAGCTCTCAAAGAACTTAGGTCTTACATCAAAGAGTCCTTGTGCAATATGCCCATTCTTAAGGACTGGTTGTATATGATGTTGCTGTTATTCAAAACCACGAAAAACGTAGACAAAGTCAAAATGAGGTAAATAATAAATTGATTTTAAGGTGGTAGGTGGGGACAAGTAATCCGATAAAAGCGGTTAAGATCTTGCTCCCCTTACCGCGTCGTTTGGTAGTAAATGTACGGGGATCATTACTCTGATTATTATGTCCAAACCCATGACCCAACACATTAATTCATGGGCCCACATTCTCACATCGTGATTGTGGGAGCAGCTTTTAATTTCTTTACTAAAGAAAATTATCAAATTTTCAATAAAGTTTTTTTAATCAATAAATAAAGTAATTCACGTAAAATATATCTATAAAAGTAATTTGAAAAACTCAAACCCATTCTAAAAGTGAGTCATTCCCTCTTACCTTATGAAAGGCAATGTCATGAAGATCTACTAGATGGAGGGTAGAGTGGAAGCAGAATGGAGAAAGTCGTCGTACCTTACTAATCGAAACGACAATGCTTCCTCACGAATGTCAAACATCGTAACTTAGCTCATCTGGATGACCAAGTTCCAAGGAGGTTTTTGATTTTGTGTTTGGAGATGAAGTCCAATCTGAGTCGGATTAGCTTGGGTTCGAACTTTAAGCAAGACATGGCAAAATATCAATTCTATCAAGAATCCTTTATCAAAAGCCTTGTTTTGGGTATAACAAGTCGTGTCGACCGCTGATTGACACTTCACACGGTTTGGCTTTAATTGAGCGACTTCATCAATCCGAGAATCTTTGATAACAAGAAAGCACATAGAAGAATGAAGGCATTGTAAGATCATGCCTTAAAGGCACATAATGGTCATGAATTCCTCTCAGCATCCCATTTTCACCTTTGAGGTTGATTTGAATGAAATGAAAATTAGATTCATACCGTTACTTGTTTAAGGCGGGACAACGACAGGTCGGCGCCCTTGCCCCTTTTACTCCCTGATTATTTTTAATTTTTTTTTTTTTATAATTCATTTTATTGCCTCTATTTTTTTAGGGTGAGATAATAATATATTTTTTAATTTTATTTATTTATTTTTAAACTAAGACTTTTATTGTTTGTAATATTTCTTAGTTGCTATTTTCTATTAAAACTAATAAAATTTCGTAGAATTTTTCATTTAA